TACAATAATGTGTGTTATTTGCTTAATTATTTTTATCTGTGTAAATGTCAAATGATAAGTAGTCGACATAATGCTTCGATTTACAACTTCAGTAGCTTTCCCGGTAGGAAAGTGTATATAGTTCAATTACACATTTTTTAAATTTAAACTTTGTTATTACAATTAGTGTACAATTATTTAATATGATATATATAGTAGTTGCTTTCAATAAAAAAAAATTGCAATACAATATACAATTAAATTAAAAAGCCTGTATGGTTAAAGAATATTTTTTTGTTGGTTTGAGAATATGTTTATTTTATAGTATCGAAAGRGATATTGGTGGTTAAAATTTTGGTTAAGATATACAAATTATTTAGTTAAAATATTGTAGACTGACAAACAGTATCCGCTCAGAATCGTTTTCGTAATATACAATAATATTATATTATTGAATTAAAATGTAATACCATTCATTACAATGACCCACTTGTAACCTTTACTGTACAGCAGAGCAACATCGACTTACTCGCTTTTTTTTTATTGTGGAACCGCCACGGCACCACAAGAGAACTGAACCGAAACTTCCACCGAAAGCCCGAATTCACTTTCATCAGCTCAGGCTAGTTATAAAAGTTCATAATATGTCATAACTTTCCATGATGGACATTTGAAGTTCATCTATCTTATATACAATTCCTGAGAGTATAACATAGTACAATATTATATGAAGCAAAATGTAATGAATTCCATTTTTATTAAATATTTTTGAGGCTATATTTTTTTGCAAATTTAAGATTATAGCTAAAAACATAAACCTTCAAAAAGGGCTTTTCAGAATAATTGTGGTTATTTTTGCCCTATTTAGTCACAGCAGAGTGGCGCAGTGGAAGCGTGCTGGGCCCATAACCCAGAGGTCCGTGGATCGAAACCACGCTCTGCTAAACACAATTTTTTGTAGATAGGTAAAGTAGGTATCCTACGAGGCTAGCAAATTGAATTTATGTGGAAAATACAAAATTGAAATTTTTTAAATTTTTTCGATGACATTCTCATACTTAATTTTTGATTATTATTTAGTATTAATATTTTCAAGACGTTTAATGATATGGATTTGTATTGCAGTAGTTAGCCATGAAAATAATTTAAGTGCTGGTAGGTACCCACAATATTCTTTTTACTGTGTCGTCACTTATTATGGCATATCTGCAGATAATTTAATACAAGAGACACTTAAATTCTTTTTCCTAGTTTTTGTAAAACTAAAATATTGATTATTTTTATGACACCATTATTCATTAAAAAAAGTTTTGTGGAAAGACAGTTCCCTGTTACCTTGCCACCTCACTGGCTATACGCTACTGATATAGATAATATTATTGTGTTATATTACCATGCCACCATGGTATTATGGTATACTCTAGTCAACTAAGGATGTCATTAATAATAGTATATTATTAGTGCGGACAATAAGAGTTGTAAACTTAGGTTTTTTATAAATTTAAAAAATCACCCTTTTTCAATATAAATATGGTTATTTCTCCCAAAATTGTCCCGCAGCAGAGTGGCGCAGTGGAAGCGTGCTGGGCCCATAACCCAGAGGTCCGTGGATCGAAACCACGCTCTGCTAAATAATTTTTTTTAATTTATTTTTTCAATATATTTTCAAAAATCTATTCCAGGAATCACAATTTATCCAGTTATTTAAGTATCTATCATATATATTATCATTTATTTTTGATGTTTTTTTTAATTTTATTCTTACTTTAATAGTATTTTCATTTAGTATTTATAAATCATAATGATTGAAATTCTGCGTAATAATATATTTTGCAGAAGCCAGAAATTATACTGCTTAGTGCCTAGGTAGTGTCTAGCCTCTTAACAGTTTCAAGYCCAACCAACATATGATGTATACTTTGTCATGATTGTACCTATATAGAATTAAAAAATGTGATATGACTTATTAAAAATAAATAAAAATACAAACATAAATATTATATATTTTTCAAGTACTTAAAACGTTTTTTGCTTCATATTATGTAATAAAATATATTGAAATATTGTGTCGTAAAAACAATTTAAAAATCTAAATATTTATCAATTATAAAAATATACAATTATATGAGTATTCAACAATTAACAATTACAAGTCTGAGAAAAATAATCAATCATCGATGTTCAATGACCTTTACCCCTGATTTGTTTATACTACATAATATTGTACGTTCAGTGATTATTCTTCTTATTCGCCTTATTGCATAATATTATCACGGGTAACAATGTAACATACTAATATTTTATACACGCCAATTCCTTAAATGTCCAACATCATCTGTTTATACTAAAATGTATAAACGTTTTTTTTTAAATATTGTTCTTTTTAAATTTTGATAGGTACCTGATATATGCAATTTGAATTTCAAACTAGCAATTAATTAGTTACTTGTAACTTACAAATAGTAATAGTTATAAGTATCTATTTAATGTTTAGATAKTCAAAGCAATGGCCAATGGATCAAGGTTTTTCAAAATTGTATTTTAAWAATGTTGTTTTGCCGTGAATTATATAAAAAAATTATTTTTAATATTTTTCAAGGCTATGTGTATTTATAGGAAAATCACCCTCTAGAGAGAAGATTGAGGATTCTCATAATATACGGCGATCAGTGCAACATTTGATTTTCACGCGTGATCTTTACAAATAAATTCTTAACTTGCTTGATTTGTTAATTATCAAGTGTTATGTTATAAGCAGCAGCTAAACAATCATTTCGATATAATATTCACAAAGTATTTATACTCAATTAAAWATTAGTGGCAAGCGATGGAATGTTGCTTTTAAATTATTAATTAAATTTAAAATTATAATATCAACTACCCATCGAATATTATTAAAATATTGATAAATTCGTAAAATAGTTCAGCCCCCCTCCTTAACCACCTGGACCTGGTGTTGCAATGTATTCAGGAATTGCAATGTTATTAACTATTTGCCTAAATTCATACGTTAATTGTTTAAAAAAACTTAAATGGTGGCATAGAACTATAACAGTGTTACATCATAYGCCGAATGGGAATCTGTTGTAGCCGCGATGATGTTAGTACAACATCGATCATTATCCGGCCGTTTTATTTATTGTTTTAAATATTATAAACAATCATCATTTGCCACTCGGTACAATGAGCAGTCGGCGTWACAACGGTTTTCGGTATTATCACAGGACACGGGGCGTTTCTACTCGGACTAACCTGAATAAGCAGACGCACAACTGCACAAAACGCAGTCGCGAGTCGTAGCGGTGAGCCGTGATTAGTGATTACGATTATTCGCTGATTTTTGATTGCTGGCCAATTTTTCTAAATTAAATACAATAGTATAACATTGAACTCGATATAAMCCGTCTGAAAAAGTTTACGATACATGCGATAAATCGGCCGATTGTGTGATACASAGATTTGCCTCAAACACTGTAATCGTTTTATMGTTGTGCAACAATTGGCGAAGGGCGAGTCTTTCGTTGGGGCTTAAAGGTAGATACCTAAAACAGTCATTTAATTACATATAACTACGATTATATTATATTATAATTTATTAATTAATGATTATCAATATTACTTTACGACCAGCAACAATCGGTATTTAATATTAATCATATTAATAAGTTTTATATTATCTAATCTAATATCTTTCTTATCGTATTATGTTTTATCACAGTTAAGTGATAAGTCCTAATAAGTCTGTGTGTTTTATACACCCAAATCGCAACCAATGTGAATTTATAAATCACAATATCAGTAATATCACACAATAAAATACTATATTACAATTCAYGATAGTATTGAAAAGTTAATACTACGATAAAAATTTAAATTAATTAAATTAAAATAATAATATTTTCATAATTTAATCCCGTGCTACTGGTGCTCCAAGGTCCAGAATTCAGTGTGCCCAGACAAAGAAACGAAAAATTGTAGAACTATATTATGGTTGGTCTTACTTCACTAGAACACGGGATTATAACTTTTTTTTATTTTGAATAATATATAAAACTGACTCCAAAAACATTTAAAAAGTATATTAATATTTATAATTTTATATTACTCGTCAAATGTGTTTTGAATACTATTGAATAGGTAGACGGCAATACTTTTTTTTACTCAATACCGTTTTTGTTTCATTTTAGTTAATAATCTTGTTTTTTATATACATATAATTTATAGTATACCTATGAGAGGAAATCAGAAGATACATACAATAAAAAGTTTGAGTACATAATTCTTAATAACAGACGATTAAGAGGACGCCACACCCGTATTTGTTGTCTCAGTTTTACAAACACGTAACATAGCCAATTTATGCTCAGCAGTTCACATTTTACTTCGTTAGCTTAAAAATTTGAGTGAATAGACCCATTATGAAACTTGATGGTAAGAATATTATCTGTGTTCTGTTAGAAGTATTTTACGATAATTCAGTTTTTAAGTGAGTTATGTGCGTATAATAAATTGTAAAACAAAAATACTCATAACTCACCTAAAAACTGAATTATCGTAAAAATACTTCCAATAAAACGCAGGTAATATTCTTCCCGTCAAGTTTCATAATAGGTTTATTCACTTTAATTTTTAAGCTACCGGATTAAAACGTGATCTGCATGTTGAGCTACATTTACTATGTTACGTGTTTGTAAAACTGAGACAACAAATACGGGTGTGGTGTCCTCTTAAGGGATTATAATTTATAGTGCAGTTTTAGTAAATACTAAACAAAACTACAAAATAAAGATTATTGATAAATTGATATTTAATAAATAATTACATAGTATACAGACTGTATAGTTWAAAAAAAAAWAAGGTTTATACTATATACGAACGCATAGTACAAGTGACATGTGTAAGTATATAATATTTTTAAAGAGTATTTACTATTTAGTACATACACTAAAGGCTTCACTAAATGATAAATTGCTAGGTATACCGTTACAGTGTATCCTTTAAAACACCACTTCTTAACTGGTGTGYAGCATCGGTAAAATTGACTGCTATAATATATAGTACATATTATATAATTAGAAAAAAACAATTTTATTTGAAAATAGTATTCTAAAAAAATTTGAATTGATTAGCAGATTTTTATATTTATCGTAAAAAATGTAGGTACTTAAGAGGTAGGTATGATGTAGTTGATGTACCTATTACAGTATATTAATAAACAAAATATAGATTTTAGTTAAATGTTGCTATATACCTAACACATTGTATCAATGTAWAATAGTAATTTTATAAATAATATTAGGTACCTACTCTAATAACAATCCGTTTATACCATCTATATAATCACTTTTATTATTTTATTTGGTAGGTGTAT